CTTCCAATATCCACGAAGCCAGTCCAACGTAACGTAGCAGGATAATTCCTCCAAAAGCCCCATGGTAGTCTCCAGGATAGGCATTGGCCAATGGATTGGTTCTGTTCTCTCATTTACAACCCTGATATCACGACGGCAAACGCGCAGAGGTTCCAAAAAAAGAAAAAAAAACATTTCAGATGACATCATGAACTCTCGCAATAAGGCAGTAAATGTCTCTACTTCACCTGTGTCCAACCCAGAGTTTGTTGTCTCGGTAACTCTCACCTGTAAGATGACCGCCACCAGCGCGTCAGCACCTCCTCCCACAACGGTTAGCTTTGGTGTGGCTGTTCTCTATTCCGCCTCCTCCAGTGTGATCGGCGCTCGTGTAGGCAAGCGAATATTTTCCTGAATGAAGCAGATGTCGCCACCCTCGTCGCATCTTCGAAGTTTCTGAAAATCCTACTACTGCCGAATGTCACAAACTTGGCCCAGTATAGCCTCCACTGAATACCCGAACTTCTCCATTACCGGACGTGGAAAGACCAACATTTTCTTGTCTTGTTGTTGCTCGACAACCCTCGTTACAGTGTTGCGTAGCTACCGTGGTCCTGCTGCCGTGTGTATCTGGATCGTGGTTGAAAACAATCCGTATAGTCACATTGAAAAAACTATGACTAAATGTCGCCAGTCTGCGTGGGGCACAGGTTTCGTCGTGCTGTTTGACACCCCGACTGAGTAGTGCATAAACTAGACCACGACCCGTAATATTAACATCGGCTCCGAGTCCCACAGCATACTAAGAAGCTCCAGTACATTATCCAGTCGTGTTATACAGATGCTACCCGGTTCCAGTCAAATTACATTCAATAGCAGCGTCTTGGCGCTCTGGGTCTGCGTAGTTGCAGGGTAGCTACTTAAGCTGACACCGTCCTTTTTCCTCGCAACTCCCGCAGAAGAGTATCGGCTTCTCCAACCGCAAATCACTGGCAATCTTTGACTCGATGTTCATCACCGTTGCACAAAAGACTAGAGCGTTTGTGGCGCGGAGGTTTCTCTTCGGTGTTAACAGTTGATTTATCTGTCCTTTGGTAGGTCTTCTTAGATGACGGCTTGCTCGTTCGCTGCCCATATCGATGTCCAAGGTTGTTCCATATAGGTTGTCCGACTTTTCCACCTGAAGTAAACGTGGTTGAAGTCGATAGAGTGCCCTACTACTGCACAAGGGCGGTACTCTTCCTCTTGCACAGGTTCGCTCTCTCTTCGCCACTTTCCTTTTATTTAAATCTCGCCGATAGCGTCAGGCAGAACTGTAGACCAAACCCATTTCATTTCTTTTTTTCTCTCCAGCGCGCATATCCGTTGCAATTGAGCGGTAGCCACTTTATAAATTCCACAATGTCCTTGGGGAGTGGTTTGTTCGACTCCCTTGCCATCTCATTCTTCACGGTACGTCAAAACGGCTCCGGGCCGAGAGCGTCAATAAGGTAGCCAACAATCTACTTAGGCTCCTTCCCAACTATCCACTCCATGTTCATCTTTCCAGCACCTGGTATATCTTGTGTTCCAGTTTGAAGACACGCGAATCAGGATCAGTAAAGTATTCATACTGAGATTTCTGCTCAATATATGCAGCGGGGCTGCCGTAGCTTAGCGTCAGAGGAAGACGGTTAACTCAAAGAGTAAA